TAGGATAGATGGATAGATACGGAAGGGGGGCTGAGGAGAAGGGAGAGAGAGAGGGATGGAACTTCTTATTTGTCTATGACTCTCTTGTTTTTTTTTTTAACTATAACTAAGGTTCATTTGGGGTACCTAGTGAATCTGCAAGCAAGAGCTGTTGTCCTCCCTCAGCTCATCTGAAGCCTGCCCCTAGAGACTTATTTATTTCATGAGATTAATCATATGCAATGAACTTTATTTAAAACTAAGTAACAATCGTATAAGGAACAGCATTAGCCAGTAGCCAACTGTGTGTCAGAGCCTTCATGTGCTCGGGTGACCTGATCTCACATGTATCAACCAGTTGAGTGAACCAGTTCCAGATGCGAGTCGGACTAGGAATGAATGATAGCTGATGGAGTGATGTTCTTGAGAAAGGCAGCTACTGCATAAGGCTGTTGATGGCCGAGAGCCCTGTGTCAATTGTGCCAACTACTGACTGTCCACGAAGTTGGGCCAGGTGCGGAACTTTGAGAATGTTGCCCTTGTACATCCTTATATGCTCAAACGTATAGAAGTGATTCATTTCTTAACATCATCATGTAAAATGCGCACTGCAGTAGCATTAAAGTTTACAGAAACACCTACACCAGCACACTATCAGTGACAACACCTGTACACTGTCAACACCTGCACACTGTCAACACCTGCACAGTGTCAACACCTGCACACTGTCAACACCCGCACACTGTCAACACCCGCACACTGTCAACACCCGCCCACTGTCAACACCCGCACACTGTCAACACCTGCACACTGTCAACACCCGCACACTGTCAACACCCGCACACTGTCAACACCTGCACACTGTCAACACCTGCACACTGTCAACACCCGCACACTGTCAACACCCGCACACTGTCAACACCTGCACACTGTCAACACCTGCACACTGTCAACACCCGCACACTGTCAACACCCGCACACTGTCAACACCTGCACACTGTCAACACCCGCACACTGTCAACACCTGCACACTGTCAACACCCGCACACTGTCAACACCCGCACACTGTCAACACCCGCACACTGTCAACACCCGCACACTATCAACACCCGCACACTGTCAACACCTGCACACTGTCAACACCTGCACACTGTCAACACCCGCACACTGTCAACACCTGCACACTGTCAACACCCGCACACTGTCAACACCCGCACACTGTCAACACCCGCACACTGTCAACACCCGCACACTGTCAACACCCGCACACTGTCAACACCCGCACACTGTCAACACCTGCACACTGTCAACACCCGCACACTGTCAACACCTGCACACTGTCAACACCCGCACACTGTCAACACCTGCACACTGTCAACACCCGCACACTGTCAACACCCGCACACTGTCAACACCCGCACACTGTCAACACCCGCGCACTGTCAACACCCGCGCACTGTCAACACCCGCACACTGTCAACACCCGCACACTGTCAACACCCGCACACTGTCAACACCCGCACACTGTCAACACCTGCACACTGTCAACACCTGCACACTGTCAACACCCGCACACTGTCAACACCCGCACACTGTCAACACCCGCACACTGTCAACACCCGCGCACTGTCAACACCCGCGCACTGTCAACACCTGCACACAAACTATCAACACCTGCAAAGACTAACTCCAATTAACTTTCCAAACATTAAAAAAAAACACAAGAGTTGTATAATACTTGTAAAATAGATAGTAATGATAGTAATAGAATGATGATAGAGATAGTAATGATAGTGATAGATAGTAAATAAAATCATATATAATCTTCTCTCTGCACAAAATCTAGGCTTCAGGATCTCAACATGACAACACAGTTCATATATCAATATAAAACGTTTAGGCAGCATGAAGGAACGGCGCTCAAACACTTGGACCATTGGGGATCGAACGCCGACCCTGCAAGAAGCCACAGACCTTCTCTGTACCGTCCAGTCCAACTGGACGGTAATACGAATAAGAAAAATGTGGATGTAAGTTAAACAAATATAGTTAAACATGGAGTTAAATTACAATCAAAAGACCTTGAAGCACCAATCTTAAACACACACAATCACAGCACAATCGTCCAGCAGTTACGGTAAGTACCTTAACCAGATTATAGGGTTGATGAGAACGGCAGCCCTATAATCTGCTATAATCTGCGGTAATAATAGAGACGAGGAACTAGGTCATATAGCACTATTGTATTACTGAAGGTCCAGACACTGGTTCGCTTCACACATACCGGGCAGCTCTCTCATTACTGTATCAATGACTGTAGCTGTATTTTGTTGTATTATTTTGGTCAAACAAGACAGCGAATGGTTGAGCGCTTCCATTATATCTGTCCAGGATGTTTTAATGGTCGCGTGACGTCGTGTTAGCCCACAGGGCGCATGCGCTAGGGACGCCCAACGCCCAGCCACCACTATTCCTTGCCTACCACAATTCCTTTTCCCCCCAACGCCCACTACCACCATCCTAGCCCGCGCCAGTAACTGCCTGAATGCACCCAGGACAAGCAATTCAACGCTGGCTACTAACTACACCGCCACGAGCGACTGACAGACACACGGCAGCATTTTATAGTCCCGTAAGACGATCAAAGCCACGACGGCCCCAGCTTCGACTCAGTGCGCCGCCACGCTCGCTAAAATGCTCCATTTACACACACGCTCAATTCAAACAATTTCTCCGTGTGGCGAGTTGTTATTTCCGGCTCCGGTAGTTCCCGGTAGTTACCGGGAGTGGCGGCGGCGGGCGGACACGCGCGCACGCACCCTTCTATCCCCCTTATCTTTATCTGCCAAATCTGTGTACCGGTTGTTCATCTTGCCTCTTCAACACTTTTATTGACACTTTGAACTTTATTAGAATTTAAAAGAAGGAGAGAAAGTCATCTCCGGCAGAATTTTATTGTTATTGCTTAAACGTGAAGTTACCAAACACTGAAATTAAATACAGACATTTGTAAACAAAAATGCTGTGTGTGCTCACCTGTTTGTGCCTGCAGGATCGAGCATTAGCTCTTGGACCCCGGCTAGAACCGGCGGTTGTATACAGCAATAACTCCTGTATTATTTCACTATAATTTCTTCAGGTTGGAGGGGGGGGGGGGGGGTCCATGATGGGCCGGCATACTATAAGACTGGTCTCACGTAGGTAGTGTAAAGCGCTCTAAAGACCTCCTTATTGAGATTCCATGAATGATGTTCTAACTTCACCTAACAAACCATGTCTCTTTTAACCATGTCGTAGCTCAGTCGATTAAGGCGGCGTCTGGGATGCTCTTAGACGCAGGTTCGAATCCTCGTCACGGCCCTTGTGGATTTGTTCAGCTAACAAAAGTCGACAACGGTGCTGAGGTAAGCCACAGGTAACAACCTGGTAACCAGAAAGGTATATATACACCGTAACAGACTATAATGACCATAGGGAGCCGGTCGGCCGAGCGGACAGCACGCTGGACTTGTGATCCTGTGGTCCCGGGTTCGATCCCGGGCGCCGGCGAGAAACAATGGGCAGAGTTTCTTTCACCCTATGCCTCTGTTACCTAGCAGTAAAATAGGTACCTGGGTGTTAGTCAGCTGTCACGGGCTGCTTCCTGGGGGGTGAAGGCCTGGTCGAGGACCGGGCCGCGGGGACACTAAAGCCCCGAAATCACCTCAAGATAACCTCAAGATAACCATCACTACACGTCATCACAGAATGCAAAAATATAAATTTAATCTGGAGTACATTGCCCCTCAAACTATCCCTAATGGAAGCGAAGGTATATATGAGTTTTTTCAGGAATAAATCGAGGCAAAAAATAGCGATCATGGAAATCATTTTGCTTCCCCGCTGAGTTGCAGAGTGGGACACGGTGCTCGGGTCACTCCCTCCCCCAAAATGGTTTCACAAAAAAACTATTTTTTTTTATGGGGCTCTGTGGTGTAGTAGTTTGTACACTTGCAAGGGAGAGGACATGAAGCGATTCCTGTTGCAGAGTGCAGTGATTGTGCACGATTTCTTTCACTCTGTTCATCTTTGTCGCCATGGCATCCAACACTCAAATCATGCCATCAGTACCAATCATGCTCACATTACCACCTTCTTCGGAAAATATACTGAAGATGGCGTAGGTTTTCAATATATATATATATATATATATATATATATATATATATATATATATATATATATATATATATATATATATATATAAATATATATATACATATATATATATATATATATATATATATATATATATATATATATATATATATATAAATATATATATACATATATATATATATATATATTTCTACTGTCAGCAGATGTGTAGTGAGCGACAGGGCAAGTAACGGAACACGGAGCCACATCTCCATAGTTCACATTCTGGGAAAATTATTCTCCTTCTCTTTCTCTCTCTCCACCTGACACACATTCAGCACGAGACGGAAGGTGGATGAGGACAGACAGGAGACGAATGACAACCACTACGACAACATCCAACATACACCAGTTAAAGGCAAGGAAAAGGAACACTGTCCTGTCAAGGAATGTACTAGACAGTCATATGGTGGAGGCTGACTCCATACACAGTTTCAAATGTAGATATGATAGAGCCCAGTAGGCTCAGGAATCTGTACACCTGTTGATTGACAGTTGAGAGGCGGGACCAAAGAGCCAGAGCTCAACCCCCGTAAGCACAACTAGGCGAGTAGTTAATAAGAAGACTTAAACAAAAGCCTCTAAATGTTAGTTATAAAAGCCTTCAACAGCACCTCCATAGGACACCAGGAAAGATAAGACAAAATCTGAAGTAAGATAAATGTTATCTAAGGAGCTGACCCGTGACACAGACAGGACAAAGCAAAGAGACAAAGAATGGACAAAGACAAAGGAAATAAGTGAAAGAGAGAGAGAGAGGAGGAGGAGAGAGGGACCAGAAGCCAAGGTATTAAGGGTACCAACAACCAGGGTGAGGGTGGTACCAGCAACCAGGGTGAGGGTGGTACCAGCAACCAGGGTGAGGGTGGTACCAGCAACCAGGGTGAGGGTGGTACCAGCAACCAGGGTGAGGGTGGTACCAACAACCAGGGTGAGGGTGGTACCAGCAACCAGGGTGAGGGTGGTACCAGCAACCAGGGTGAGGGTGGTACCAGCAACCAGGGTGAGGGTGGTACCAACACTTAGGGTGAGGGTGGTACCAACAACCAGGGTGAGGGTGGTACCAACAACCAGGGTGAGGGTGGTATCAGCAACAAGGGTGAGGGTGGTACCAGCAACCAGGGTGAGGGTGGTACCAGCAACCAGGTTGAGGGTGGTACCAGCAACCAGGGTGAGGGTGGTACCAACAACCAGGGTGAGGGTGGTACCAGCAACCAGGGTGAGGGTGGTAGCAGCAACCAGGGTGAGGGTGGTAGCAGCAACCAGGGTGAGGGTGGTACCAGCAACCAGGGTGAGGGTGGTACCAGCAACCAGGGTGAGGGTGGTACCAGCAACCAGGGTGAGGGTGGTACCAACAACCAGGGTGAGGGTGGTACCAACAACCAGGGTGAGGGTGGTACCAGCAACCAGGGTGAGGGTGGTACCAACAACCAGGGTGAGGGTGGTACCAACAACCAGGGTGAGGGTGGTACCAGCAACCAGGGTGAGGGTGGTACCAGCAACCAGGGTGAGGGTGGTACCAACAACCAGGGTGAGGGTGGTACCAACAACCAGGGTGAGGGTGGTATCAGCAACAAGGGTGAGGGTGGTACCAGCAACCAGGGTGAGGGTGGTATCAGCAACAAGGGTGAGGGTGGTACCAGCAACCAGGGTGAGGGTGGTACCAGCCACCAGGGTGAGGGTGGTACCAACAACCAGGGTGAGGGTGGTACCAACAACCAGGGTGAGGGTGGTACCAGCAACCAGGGTGAGGGTGGTACCAACACTTAGGGTGAGGGTGGTACCAGCCACCAGGGTGAGGGTGGTACCAACAACCAGGGTGAGGGTGGTACCAGCAACCAGGGTGAGGGTGGTACCAACAACCAGGGTGAGGGTGGTGTCAGCAACCAGGGTGAGGGTGGTACCAGCAACCAGGGTGAGGGTGGTACCAGCAACCAGGGTGAGGGTGGTACCAGCAACCAGGGTGAGGGTGGTACCAACAACCAGGGTGAGGGTGGTACCAGCAACCAGGGTGAGGATGGTACCAGCAACCAGGGTGAGGGTGGTACCAACAACCAGGATGAGGGTGGTACCAACAACCAGGGTGAGGGTGGTACCAACAACCAGGGTGAGGGTGGTACCAGCAACCAGGGTGAGGGTGGTACCAGCTGGTAATGGTCATTATGCCAGTAATGACACCATTGTTTACTGACGATCTCTCTGGATCTGGCTCGTACTCATTTGGTTAATGGTAATCTCATAACTAATGATTCCTGTCTGGGTAATGGTTCCTGTCTGGGTAATGGTTCCTGTCTGGGTAATGGTTCCTGTCTGGGTAATGGTTCCTGCACCACTAATGGTTCCTGTCTGGGTAATGGTTCCTGCACCACTAATGGTTCCTGTCTGGGTAATGGTTCCTGTCTGGGTAATGGTTCTTGTCTGGGTAATGGTTCCTGTCTGGGTAATGGTTCCAGCCTGGGTAATGGTTCCAGCCTGGGTAATGGTTCCTGCACCACTAATGGTTCCAGCCTGGGTAATGGTTCCTGCACCACTAATGGTTCCAGCCTGGGTAATGGTTCCTGCACCACTAATGGTTCCAGCCTGGGTAATGGTTCCAGCCTGGGTAATGGTTCCAGCCTGGGTAATGGTTCCTGCACCACTAATGGTTCCAGCCTGGGTAATGGTTCCTGCACCACTAATGGTTCCTTTCTGGGTAATGGTTCCTGTCTGGGTAATGGGTCCCACACCATTAATGCTTGGTTCCCACATCACTAATGGTTCCAGTCTGGGTAATGGGTCCTACACCACTAATGGTTCCTGCCTGGGTAATGGGTCCCACACCACTAATGGTTTACTACACAATATTAGTTTCCCTTATGTGTTAATATCTCCCATGAACCATTTTTGATCTTTTATTTACTAATGGTTCCCGACCAGATTTGCTCCTCCATAAGACAGAGTACCCGGCGGCACCCGGGTCTCCCCCCAGACACACACACACACACCCTCCTAATCTACCCCATTATTATAACTATACAAACACACATCCAGATCGCTTTAGTACACGCGTGTCGAAGGTGGGTTAAAAATTACGAAGATTCAAAACGCCCACATTTCGACTCCACCGACCTTCATGGGGGTCACTGTGGGTGCCAGCAATTCTTAAAAGAGGAGCAATGTGTCCAAACCCCTGACCAGCCTATGGATCACCCCCCATCACCACCAGTCACCCTGCAAATTTGGGTGAGGCGTCTGGCCTTCATCCTTGGACCGACAGACTAATGTCACGTTTGCCCTCAATCGCCTTAGTAACGGGTCTTCGTGGTAACGAAGTCTCCTGTTTTTTGCAGTCTGCTCTCTAGTATCGACCCACCTGTTAGTACTAGCATCGTTCCGCACTGAAAAGCACTCCCCCCCCCCCTTGATAACGGTTGCTCTTTGTAACGACCGCATTGTTGGTAACGGGTCCGCTTTAATAACGAGAGTAACAGCTCCTCCTTAAGTCAGGATTTGGCATTTGGCAACGGTCGACCTTTAGATAACAGTTCACCCTATGGAAGGATAACACCTTGATAACAACGCCGCGACCAGTGACTAACGGCCGGCCGTTAGTAACGGCGGCGGCGGCTGTTGTCTGGTCGGACAGATAATTATTTTGGAAATTACGGCCCGTTAAGATAAAAAGTGGCCCCATTGTCGCGACCCTGTCTACGGTGGGCCGTTGTTTCTGCCTACGGTGGGTACCTGTCCCCTGTCTACGGTGGGCCCATGTCCCCTGTCTACGGTGGGTCCCTGTCTGTCTACGGTGGGCCCCTGTCTCTGTCTATGGTGGGTCCCTGTCTCTGTCTACGGTGGGCCCCTGTCTCTGTCTACGGTGGGTCCCTGTCTCTGTCTACGGTGGGCCCCTGTCTACGGTGGGCCCCTGTCTCTGTCTACGGTGGGTCTCTGTCTCCTGTCTACGGTGGGTCACTGTCCCCTGTCTACGGTGGGTCCCTGTCCCCTGTCTGCGGTGGGTCCCTGTCTACAGTGGGTCCCTGTCCCTGTCTACAGTGGGTCCCTGTCCCCTGTCTGCGGTGGGTCCCTGTCTCCGGTGGGTCCCTGTCTCCTGTCTACGGTGGGCCCCTGTCTCTTGTCTACGGTGGGTCCCTGTCCCTGTCTACGGTGGGCCCCTGTCTCCTGTCTACGGTCGGCCCCTGTCTCCGGTGGGCCCCTGTCTCCTGTCTACGGTGGGTCCCTGTCTCCTGTCTACGGTGGGTCCCTGTCTGCTGTCTACGGTGGGTCCCTGTCTGCTGTCTACGGTGGGCCCCTGTCTCCTGTCTACGGTGGGTCCCTGTCCCCTGTCTACGGTGGGTCCCTGTCTGCTGTCTACGGTGGGTCCCTGTCCCTGTCTACGGTGGGCCCCTGTCTCCTGTCTACGGTGGGTCCCTGTCTGCTGTCTACGGTGGGTCCCTGTCCCTGTCTACGGTGGGTCCCTGTCTCCTGTCTACGGTGGGTCCCTGTCTCCTGTCTACGGTGGGTCCCTGTCTGCTGTCTACGGTGGGTCCCTGTCTGCTGTCTACGGTGGGCCCCTGTCTGCTGTCTACGGTGGGTCCCTGTCTGCTGTCTACGGTGGGTCCCTGTCTGCTGTCTACGGTGGGTCCCTGTCCCTGTCTACGGTGGGTCCCTGTCTCCTGTCTACGGTGGGTCCCTGTCTCCTGTCTACGGTGGGTCCCTGTCTGCTGTCTACGGTGGGTCCCTGTCTGCTGTCTACGGTGGGTCCCTGTCTGCTGTCTACGGTGGGTCCCTGTCTGCTGTCTACGGTGGGTCCCTGTCTCCTGTCTGCGGTGGGTCCCTGTCTGCTGTCTACGGTGGGTCCCTGTCCCTGTCTACGGTGGGTCCCTGTCTCCTGTCTACGGTGGGTCCCTGTCCCCTGTCTGCGGTGGGTCCCCGACCTCCCTTCCCCTCACAACTCCCGGTGTGTGAAAGAGAGTGTGAGGGAGTGTGTGAGGTGTGAGTCAGTACTGTGAGTCAGTACTGTGAGTCAGTACTGTGAGGCAGCTGGAGGTGGTGTGTGAGAGGTGTATATGAGAGATGTGTTGGAAATGTGAGGTTACACAGGTGTATGTGTGGCAGAATTGTAGTGAGATGAGGAGTAATGAGATAGAGGGACGTATAAGGAGATGCAGGGAGGTGTAGGGAGGTGTAGGGAGGTGTGGGGAGGTGTAGGGAGGTGTAGGGAGGTGTAGGGAGGTGTAGGGAGGTGTAGGGAGATGTAGGGAGGTGTAGGGAGATGTAGAGAGGTGTAGGGAGGTGTGGGGAGGTGTAGGGAGGTGTGGGGAGGTGTAGGGAGATGTGAGGTGTATGGAGGTGTATGGAGGTGTAGGAAGGCGTAGGAAAGTGTAGGGAGGTGTGGGGAGGTGTAGGGAGGTGTGGGTAGGTGTAGGAAGGTGTAGGGAGGTGTTGGGAGGTGTAGGGAGGATTATGATATATATATATATATATAGTGGTGTATATATGTGTGGTGTTGGTGGTTATAAGACATGTGTTGGGTTGGAATATGAGGTGTTGTGAGACTGTAAGTTGCAGATGTTGTGAGGTTCCTAGAGATGTTGTGAGGTTATTAAAGATGTTGTGAGGTTCCTAGAGATGTTGTGAGGTTATTAAAGATGTTGTGAGGTTGTAGGTGGTGTGGGAACGGTGAGGAGAGGCCCGAGACAGAGCCAGAATAATGAGATAACATTAAGGTGGCAGAAGAGGATAGCCAAGACGGAGAGAGAGAAAGCTTTACAAATGTACCTGGAAGGTGATAATGAGTTTTGTCAAGACGTTTGGGCTTTTCAAAATCAAAGCCAAATTCTAAATTGGCCTTAGGAACCGTACAGCAAATAGGTAAGTACATTCGTGGGGGGTCAAAGTGAGAGTTAGCCGTGCCTATTACACTCTGGTGTGAAACATGGATGATGTTATGATGCAGACTAGTTAAATAACAAGTTTTAACACTTTCTAACAACTTTAGCAATCGATATAGCAAGGGAGCTCCAAGAGCGTGCACAGCGGAGCTCCAAGAGTGTGCACAGGAGCTCCAAGAGCGTGCACAAAAGTGCTCCAAGAGCGTGCACAAGGGAGCTCCAAGAGCGTGTACAGGGGAGCTCCAAGAGCGTACACAAGGGAGCTCCAAGAGCGTGCAGAGAGGAGCTCCAAGAGCGTGCACAGAGGAGCTCTAGGGGCGTGCACAAGGGAGCTCCAAGAGCGTGCACAAGGGAGCTCCAAGAGCGTGCAGAGAGGAGCTCCAAGAACGTGCAGAGAGGAGCTCCAAGAGCGTGCACAGAGGAGCTCTAGGGGCATGCACAGTTGAGCTCCAAGAGCGTGTACAAGGGAGCTCCAAGAGCGTGCACAGAGGAGCTCAAAGAGCGTGCACAAGGGAGCTCCAAGAGCGTGCACAGAAGAGCCCCAAGAGCGTGCACAAGGGAGCTCCAAGAGCGTGCACAGAGGAGCTCAAAGAGCGTGCACAAGGGAGCTCCAAGAGCGTGCACAGAAGAGCTCCAAGAGCATGCACAAGGGAGCTCCAAGAGCGTGCACAAGGAGAAGGACATGCCCGAGACCCGTCTTCTTTTTTGGAGGGAAATTCGTCCCCGTCACCCAGTCCTGCTCCATGGGAGTCCTCGATCCTGCTCCTAACTTCATAACTCTCCACCTGTCAGACTTGAATCCAAGTTGTATCTTGCCTCAGACCAGGTCTTGCATACGTCAAGATCTTGCTGCATTCTTCCTTCGTCTTAGCTTTCCACACTGGTCTTAATGTTACCTGTTAGCTTGGGATGTATGAATCTATTCGCTGCCGGATCGTTGGTGTATTCATTGATGTATTCTACTCGTGATTCTTCGCTCGGTCTGAAGTCTTTTGTCTCACTTGTCACGTGGACCCCGTCACGTGGAGCCCGTCACGTGGAGCCCGTCACGTCCCGTCACGTGGAGAGGCCGTAACAGTCTCCAACGCGTGTCAGCGTCGACCTTCGCGGCTGTCAAGCAAGACATATTCTGTCCACCACTCGCTGTCTTGTTGAATAGCTGCCCTCTTGGCAGTGGGAGCAGCATGGAGACCCCAAGGGTGCTGCATGGGGTCCAGGGGCAGCATGGAGACCCCAGGGGTCGCTGCATGGGGTCCAGGGGCAGCATGGAGACCCCAGGGGTCGCTGCATGGGGTCCAGGGGCAGCATGGAGACCCCAGGGGTCGCTGCATGGGGTCCAGGGGCAGCATGGAGACCCCAGGGGTCGCTGCATGGGGTCCAGGGGCAGCATGGAGACCCCAGGGGTCGCTGCATGGGGTCCAGGGGCAGCATGGAGACCCCAGGGGTCGCTGCATGGGGTCCAGGGGCAGGAGGGAGACCCCAGGGGTCGCTGCATGGGGTCCAGAGGCAGCATGGAGACCCCAGGGGTCGCTGCATGGGGTCCAGGGGCAGCAGGGAGACCCCAGGGGTCGCTGCATGGGGTCCAGAGGCAGCATGGAGACCCCAGGGGTCGCTGCATGGGGTCCAGGGGCAGCAGGGAGACCCCAGGGGTCGCTGCATGGGGTCCAGGGGTCGCTGCATGGGGTCCAGGGGCAGCAGGGAGACCCCAGGGGTCGCTGCATGGGGTCCAGAGGCAGCATGGAGACCCCAGGGGTCGCTGCATGGGGTCCAGGGGCAGCAGGGAGACCCCAGGGGTGCTGCATGGGGTCCAAGGGCAGCAGAGAGAGACCAGGGGTCGGTGCATGGGGTCCAGGGGTAACAGGGAGACCCCAGGGGTGCTGCATGGGGTCCAGGGGCAGCAGGGAGACCCCAAGGGTGTTGCATGGGGTCCAAGGCCACCAGGGAGACCCCAGGGGTGCTGCATGGGGTCCAGGGGCAGCAGGGAGACCCCAGGGGTCGCTGCATGATGTCCAGGGGCAGCAGGGAGACCCCAGGGGTGCTGCATGGGGTCCAAGGCCACCAGGGAGACCCCAGGGGTGCTGCATGGGGTCCAAGGCCACCAGGGAGACCCCAGGGGTGCTGCATGGGGTCCAAGGCCACCAGGGAGACCCCAGGGGTGCTGCATGGGGTCCAGGGGTAGCAGGGAGACCCCAGAGGTTCTGCATGGGGTCCAAGGCCACCAGGGAGACCCCAGGGGTGCTGCATGGGGTCCAAGGCCACCAGGGAGACCTCAGGGGTGCTGCATGGGGTCCAGGGCCAGCAGGGAGACTCCAGGGGTGCTGCATGGGGTCCAAGGCCACCAGGGAGACCCCAGGGGTGCTGCATGGGGTCCAGGGCCACCAGGGAGACCCCAGGGGTGCTGCATGGGGTCCAAGGCCACCAGGGAGACCCCAGGGGTGCTGCATGGGGTCCAAAACCACCAGGGAGACCCCAGGGGTCACTGCATGGGGTCCAAGGCCACCAGGGAGACCCCAGGGGTGCTGCATGGGGTCCAGGGCCACCAGGGAGACCCCTAAGGGTGCTGCATGGGGTCCAGGGGCAGCAGGGAGACCCCAGGGGTCGCTGCATGGGGTCCAGGGGTCGCTGCATGGGGTCCAGGGGCAGCAGGGAGACCCCAGGGGTGCTGCATGGGGTCCAGGGCCACCAGAGAGACCCCTAAGGGTGCTGCATGGGGTCCAGGGGTCGCTGCATGGGGTCCAGGGGCAGCAGGGAGACCCCAGGGGTGACTGCATGGGGTCCAGGGCCACCAGGGCGACCCCAGGGGGGTTGACCACATGCCCTCCTGCTGGTGGAGGAAGTTGATCAGCACCAACAGCTCCTCCGGGAGACGCCGCCGTGCCTCACCGCTCCTGCAGTAGTGTCCTGACCTGCCACGGCCACCACCGGCCCGTGTCTCGACTTCCTCTTCTCCTCCTCCGTCTTCCTGGTCTTTCCCTGCTTTATTATCCCTTACTCTGCCTCCTGGTCTTCATTCTCACCTCACTCGTCTCCTCCTAAAACCCCCTCTTCCTCTTTCTATTCCTCTCCCTCACACCTTACCCCTCCCACAGTTGACACCTTACCCCTCCCACAGTAAGCCTGGTAGGATAGCGCGGGCCTGGTGGGATTACAGGGCCTGGTAGCCAGGTGGATAGCGCGCAGGACTCGTAATTATGTGGCGCGGGTTCGATTCCCGCACCAGGCAGAAAGAAAGCTGGAGGAGACAATGAGTGTGAGGAGACAATGAATATGAGGAGACAATGAGTGTGAGGAGACAATGAATATGAGGAGACAATGAGTGTGAGGAGACAATGAATATGATGAGACAATGAGTGTGAGGAGACAATGAATATGATGAGATAATGAGTGTAAGGAGACAATGAGAGTGAGGGAAGGATGTCTTACAATAACGATTGTCTTGGACCTGTGACACACAACCCTTTCTTAATAGTCAAGAAAAACAAAAATAGTAGACGAATCAGGAACAAAGAAAAAGGGGGACAAGGGGAATACAAAGGAAGAAAAGGCATTCAGAAAAAGAGAGGTTAAAAAATATGTCAAAAACCGCAATGCCATTTGAGGGGAAGCAAATGGTCCCTTGTTGTGATGGGACTGTCTCCCTTCCCCCCCCTCTCTCTCTCTCTCTCTCTCTCTCTCTCTCTCTTCCTTACTGAACGGTGGACAGCCTGAGAGACACAACTGGAGGAGCTCAAGATATAAAGGAAAAGATTGAGAGAGAGAGAGAGAGAGAGAGAGAGAGAGAGAGAGAGAGAGAGAGAGAGAGAGAGAGAGAGAGAGAGAGAGAGAGAGAGAGAGAGAGAGAGAGAGAGAGAGAGAGAGAGAGAGAGAGAGAGAGAGAGAGAGAGAGAGCGGACAGTGAGTATGTTGACAGCGACACAATATTGTCAAGACTCTCCTCCTCCCATAGTAGTTACCATGAGACAATGTGTGGGAGGTCAAGTGCATCCCTTCACCTTGAGTGTGAGTGCATTTACACCCTTCAAGGAGAGTCCTTCCCTGTTGATCCCTGCAGTAAGTTGCTTACGGTATCTTAAGCACTCTGCGTACACAATACAATCACAAGAACATTATATATCTATTTGAATATCTTTGGAGTAGACCGGTGGCATCGAAGCAGGATTCAGGGTTACCACAGACGAGTATCTTACCCGTGGACCACCATATGCTAGAATGAACACAACCAGGGGGCCAGATTCACGAAGCAGTTACGCAGGTACTTACGAACGTGTACATCTTTCCTCAATCTTTGATGGATTTGGTTACGTTTATTAAACAGTTTACAAGCATGAAAACTTGCCAATCAACTGTTGTTATTGTTATAAACAGCGTCCTGGAGCTTCGGAGCTCATTAACTGTTTAATAATTGTAAACAAAGCCGCCAAAGATTGAGAAAAGATGAACAGGTTCGTAAATGCTTGCGTAACTGCTTCGTGAATCTGGCCCCTGGAACCCGCCTGAACCCACTAGGAACTAGAGGCACCCAACTAGTTCGACTTACAAAGAACATTTAGAATACAATAAGAACTTATGTGGTGTTTGCAGACTCAAACAAGCCGCCGGCTTCCTGTCCTCGTTGAGGCTACTAGTGTTAGTGGCTCTGAGGTAAATTCAGGTAAACTCATTATCCTCCTTAAAATGTACATATCACAGAGCACAATAGGCTCGAAATGCTGTCTCACCCGGTCGAGAAGCAGGACCCAAGAGCTGAAGCTCAACTCCCACAAGCAGAATTAGATGAGGACAATTAGTTGAGTAGACATACAGACACTCAGTTACTGCATAAATCGTGTTAGCAGAATTGTAATCCCCATAACGAGATTTTGGAGTGGAATTGAATGTCCCCGCCCCCCCTCTCCCCCCCGCCCATACAAAAAGGGTGAGAATATTTTCACCATACAGGAAGGTGCTTTGTATTCCACCCTGGCGGGGATTCCACCCTGACGGGGATTCCACCTCGGAGGGGATTCCACCCAGGCGGGGATTCCACTCTGGCGGGGATTCCACTCTGGCGGGGATTCCATCCTGGCGGGGATTCCACCCTGACGGGGATTCCACCTTGGAGGGGATTCCACTCTGGCGGGGATTCCACTCTGGCGGGGATTCCACTCTGGCGGGGATTCCACTCTGGCGGGGATTCCACCCTGGCGCTTGGTCCGAGTCGCAGGTGTTGACTATCAGAGAGACACCTGTCAACTCTCTCAAACACATGTTATTTATCACACATGTTCGTCGACACATGGGACCACGCTAACCCAGGTCCACACTAACCCAGGTCCACACTAACCCAGGTCTACACTAACCCAGGTCCACCCAAATGCAGCTTTACACAAACCCCATCCAATCCTGAAACGCTAATCCAATCGTATTAAAATCCAAACCCTCTCCCAACAGTAATCCACTCTCACACCATTGTTAATCTAACCCAATAATATTAATCGCCTACGCTAATCTACTCCCCCCCCCACGCCTACCCACCCCGAGGGTAATCCACTTCTCACCAAACCACACCAAGTGTAATCCACTCTGTGAAAATCCGCACCGAGGGTAATCCGAGTGATCCACTTGTACATACGGAGAGATGTCAATTTTACTGAGGAATTATTTGTTAAAGTCAGTTTGAATACGAAAAAATGTGAAAGAATAAAATAAATTCCATATTATTTCACTCAAGCCAACTGTGGTCTGAACTTCACGAAGCTGTCTGGAACACAAGGGAGGCGTCTGGAACACAAGGGAGGCGTCTGGAACACAAGGGAGGCGTCTGGAACACAAGGGAGGCGTCTGGAACACAAGGGAGGCGTCTGGAACACAAGGGAGACGTCTGGAACACAAGGAAGACGTCTGGAACACAAAGAAGACGTCTGGAACACAAGGAAGACGTCTGGAACACAAGGCAGACGTCTGGAACACAAGGAAGACGTCTGGAACACAAGGGAGGCGTCTGGAACACAAGGGAGGCGTTTGGAACACAAGGGAGGCGTCTGGAACACAAGGGAGGCGTCTGGAACACAAGGGAGGCGTCTGGAACACAAGGGAGGCGTCTGGAACACAAGGGAGGCGTCTGGAACACAAGGGAGGCGTCTGGAACACAAGGGAGGCGTCTGGAACACAAGGGAGACGTCTGGAACACAAGGGAGGCGTCTGGAACACAAGGAAGACGTCTGGAACACAAAGAAGACGTCTGGAACACAAGGAAGACGTCTGGAACACAAGGAAGACGTCTGGAACACAAGGAAGACGTTTGGAACACAAGGGAGGCGTCTGGAACACAAGGGAGGCGTCTGGAACACAAGGGAGACATCTGGAACACAAGAGAGACATCTGGAACACAAGGAACACGTCTGGAACACAAGAGAGACATCTGGAACACAAGAGAGACATCTGGAACACAAGGAACACGTCTGGAACACAAGAGAGACATCTGAAACACAAGGAACACGTCTGGAACACAAGGGAGGCGTCTGGAACACAAGGGAGGCGTCTGGAACACAAGGGAGGCGTCTGGAACACAAGGGAGGCGTCTGGAACACAAGGAACACGTCTGGAACACAAGGAACACGTCTGGAACACAAGGAACACGTCTGGAACACAAGGAACACGTCTGGAACACAAGGGAGGCGTCTGGAACACAAGAGAGACATCTGGAACACAAGGAACACGTCTGGAACACAAGGGAGGCGTCTGGAACACAAGAGAGACATCTGGAACACAAGGAACACGTCTGGAACACAAGGGAGGCGTCTGGAACACAAGAGAGACATCTGGAACACAAGGAACACGTCTGGAACACAAGGAACACGTCTGGAACACAAGGGAGGCGTCTGGAACACAAGGGAGGCGTCTGGAACACAAGGGAGGCGTCTGGAACACAAGGGAGGCGTCTGGAACACAAGGAACACGTCTGGAACACAAGGAACACGTCTGGAACACAAGGAACACGTCTGGAACACAAGGGAGGCGTCTGGAACACAAGAGAGACATCTGGAACACAAGGAACACGTCTGGAACACAAGGGAGGCGTCTGGAACACAAGAGAGACATCTGGAACACAAGGAACACGTCTGGAACACAAGGGAGGCGTCTGGAACACAAGAGAGACATCTGGAACACAAGGAACACGTCTGGAACACAAGGGAGGCGTCTGGAACACAAGAGAGACATCTGGAACACAAGGAACACGTCTGGAACACAAGGAACACGTCTGGAACACAAGGAACACGTCTGGAACACAAGGGAGGCGTCTGGAACACAAGGGAGGCGTCTGGAACACAAGAGAGACATCTGGAACACAAGGAACACGTCTGGAACACAAGGAACACGTCTGGAACACAAGGAACACGTCTGGAACACAAGGAACACGTCTGGAACACAAGGAACACGTCTGGAACACAAGGTAGGCGTCTGGAACACAAGAGAGACATCTGGAACACAAGGAACACGTCTGGAACACAAGAGAGACATCTGGAACACAAGGAACACGTCTGGAACACAAGGGAGGCGTCTGGAACACAAGGAACACGTCTGGAACACAAGAGAGGCGCCTGTAGGATCCACAATATCTAAAGAAAATAGTAAATGAAAATTACTAATCAACTGAAATTGAAAAATAGGTCTTTAATTCAGCTTCATAATTGGTTTTCCATGGAATATTAAAATGAATAATAAAATGAATAAATGCTATTACCTCTTGCAGGAAAGGAGGCCCGGCTCGCCAAAGTGCTACTCCCGCATATATAAAATTTAGCATATATTTTTTTTTTTACATAATGCTTTTAGCAATAAATTAATTATTTTCCATCGTTCTTTTCCTCTGACTCGTGTTAGTCATTAACGCTGAACAAGTTGTGGAGCTGAGCCAGCTGTTGAGCTGAGCCAGCTGTGGAGCTGAGCCAGCTGTGGAGCTGTGCCAGCTGTGGAGCTGTGCCAGCTGTGGAGCTGAGCCAGCTGTGTCAGTGGTAGCGCTGAGCCAGATACACAAACGTTAGACCAATATCTGAGGGTGCAGCACCCGAGCATCAAGTTCTCACCTAATCGAACATGCAAGAGAAACTCGAGAAATTCGAACGCTTAGCCGGATCCGGTGCAGAGGGGCGTGAATTGCTAGGGAAAGCCTTAAGAAGCTGAATCTCATATCTCAGGAAATGTGAAATATTAGCGAGGATATGATAACGATATATAAGATACCACTCAGACACCGTAGTTACTGATGGTTCACCACTCAGACACTAACTAAAGATGCCCCCCAGGTTAGGTCAACCCAAAACATTAGGGGCCCCAAAATAACGTTCCTGGTCCTTCCAGCTGGCGTGAATCTACCGGGAAATGCTTTTAAGAATAATTCCCACTTTTCCAAACTTGATTTTGGTCCACAAACTCGACAGGAGACCATTACCGCTCCTCTGAGCCTCGTTAGACCACGAAACGAAACTAATATCTCATTGCTTTACCAAAACAGGAGGTCATTGCTTGCAATTTGAAATGTAACGAGGATAAACACGTGTTCTAGGTAGATATTGTGCAATGCAGGTGTTATGACGGGAGAAAAGGGGGGGGGGGTGAATCCCCCCATCTCCCCCCCCCTCCTCATCTCACCACAGCGGTTCACCACACTCACCACAAACAATCATTTGCATACGAATCGCGAAGGGAAACGGAGTCGAGGTCATGGCCAGTCGACCTTTCAACCCTCATCTTGTAAACAGCTAATGCACCGCGTTCATCTGCCTGGTGCAAGAGCGGCCCTCTGCCACCACCATCACAGGCGACAATCAGGTACGACCATCAGGGCCTCTTAATCCCGCTTAATCCGCGGGGGGGGGATTAAGATACAAACACAGAGGTCTATGGGGATAGTGTAGTCCCCATAGACAGCTCAGTGAATGTGTGTGTGTCACACCCTGGCAGGTGTGTGAGCCACACCCTGTCAGGTGTGTGAGCCACACCCTGGCAGGTGAGTGTGTGTGAGCCACACCCTGTCAGGTGTGTGAGCCACACCCTGTCAGGTGTGTGAGCCACACCCTGGCAGGTGAGTGTGTGTGAGCCACACCCTGGCAGGTGAGTGTGTGTGAGCCACACCCTGTCAGGTGTGTGAGCCACACCCTGGCAGGTGAGTGTGTGTGAGCCACACCCTGTCAGGTGTGTGAGCCACACCCTGGCAGGTGAGTGTGTGTGAGCCACACCCTGTCAGGTGTGTGAGCCACACCCTGGCAGGTGAGTGTGTGTGAGCCACACCCTGTCAGGTGTGTGAGCCACACCCTGGCAGGTGTGTGAGCCACACCCTGGTGAGTGTGTGAGCCACACCCTGGCAGGTGAGTGTGTGTGAGCCACACCCTGTCAGGTGTGTGAGCCACACCCTGGCAGGTGAGTGTGTGTGAGCCACACCCTGGCAGGTGTGTGAGCCACACCCTGGCAGGTGTGTGAGCCACACCCTGGCAGGTGTGTGAGCCACACCCTGGCAGGTGTTTGAGCCACACCCTGGCAGGTGAGTGAGCCACACCCTGGCAGGTGTGTGAGCCACACCCTGGCAGGTGAGTGTGTGAGCCACACCCTGTCAGGTGTGTGAGCCACACCCTGGCAGGTGTGTGAGCCACACCCTGGCAGGTGTGTGAGCCACACCCTGGCAGGTGAGTGTGTGAGCCACACCCTGGCAGGTGTGTGAGCCACACCCTGGCAGGTGTGTGAGCCACACCCTGGCAGGTGTGTGAGCCACACCCTGGCAGGATGATTAACAGAAATGTTCTACTTGTAATACTTTGTCCGTAGCAGTACAAACACGTTACTAATAAACTGATCCAGGTAGCACGGGCTATGGTGATCCCGTAGTGGACTTACCTCCTATCCAAAGAAAGAGAGAAAAAGATGTGGGGGAACGACAGGCACAGTGAGACCCGAGTACCGCCGGGTATCCAGTAATGTTATAAATATGGAGGTGTTGGAGAGGGTGGGCGTGGAGGGTGATGGTCACTGGGTGTCCCTGTGGACGCTGGTTCGAGGCGCTCTATTGTCTAGGGAGTTAATGAGAAGCAGAAAGGGATTTATGGCCTCTAGTGTTGTGTGTGTGTGTGTGTGTGTGTGTGTGTGTGTGTGTGTGTGTGTGTGTGTGTGTGTGTGTGTCCGCCTCACACCACCTTCACCACACTTTGTTTGGGTCTTTATGATTCACATGTGTTTTGTATTCACCTATCTGTGCCTGTAGGGTTGAGCTGTTAGCTCTTGGACTCCGCCTTTCTAACTATTGGTTGTCTAATGTTCTGGCTCCACGTATTTTCTCTATCGTGTCTAATATATTACACACACAGACACACACACACACACACACACACACACACACACACACACACACACACACACACACAAACACACATACACACAGGCCGACAGGGGCTCCGACAAGGGCGCCGACAGAGGCGCCGACAGAGGCTCCGACAGGGGCGCCGACAGAGGCTCCGACAGGGGCTCCGACAAGGGCGCCGACAGAGGTGCCGACAGAGGCTCCGACAGGGACGCCGACAGAGGCTCTCCCACACCATCACCTCTCTTCTCATCACCTTACTCTTGCATGAAATGGACTTCCCCCTTGCATGTCAGCACTGATGGGTCAGTGTATGACTGAGACAACAGTGTTCGGACGGGTCTCAATGTCCGAGCGGAACAAGGCAGCGTCCGGACGAGTGGGCAAGCAGGAGCCCAACAGCACGAGAGATCAGATCTGGCACCATCTAAGGTGTACAATGTTCTCCTTCGCCCTGCTAACACCGCCTCAAGCCAGTCTGCTCAATTAAGCTGCTTCCTTCCTCCGAGACCTGGGAAGACGCTCCGCAGTTACAGCAGAAGGCCAGCTTCTCCGTGAACTAACTTCCCTATCACCGCGATAATTCTCAGCATAAATAATTTAGTAATAATTAATTCAATTAATTTAACTCTGAAAGACCAGGTAACATGATGCAGATGATGTATAGGACGCCTCAAGTCTACCAAGATCCCTTCCTAATTCTGGGTATTAGAGTGAAAAGGTGCCCCGGGAGTGACTCTCAGACATTCTTACCCAAGTTGTGGCCGCTGGTAATGGAGTTTGAGGCAAAGTTTGGACACAGCGCTCGTAATGCTCTTGCTGGGCTACTGAGCACACTGAGCACTGTGCTCAGTGTACTCACTCCCCACCCCTCGCTACTGGATACGACAGTCACTGAGAAATGAATGAACACATTTTCTAGAAGAAACGGGAGAATTCAGAATTCAGGATTCCAAGAATTCAGAAACTGCGGAAGCAACTGCACAGTTCCCAATCTGTATTTCGTCAATGGTGGGCGGACAGGTTGGAGGGCTGGGACTGCCCCCAGACGTGCAATCAGGCCAGGCTCAGGTACAGCCCTTCTGGTGATCAAGCCGGGTCAGGGGGCCCTAATACTCCCAGCCGGACACCTTCTAATCCCTCCAAGATGGCAGTTGGCGCACGTTGCTCCTCTGTGTGTGTGTGAGAGTGTGTGAGAGAGCGGCAGGTTGTGTGGGAGGGACCCCGACACTCCCGCCAGGCTCCACAGGGCCCCCTGGACCACGTGCCTCTGAGACCACCTGCAAGCTGATTGTCCCCTTCATTTCTCTGAGGCACGATGAAGATTCACCCCAATTTTTGTCCGCTTCAAGACAGCTTCAGCAGGTTGACTGAGGCACTGCCGTCATGTCGTCTCGGCAGCTCCTCCTTGCCTCCACCACTCTAAAATTGATTACCACCTGAGAAAATCAAACATGAAATACTTATGAGTGCGTTCGTGTCTATTTCAAGACGACCTCAGGAGTAATAAGGTGCATACAGAGGTAACTTAGGCAGGAAGAGACCAGTGAGGGGGCAGTAGGTCAAGACATTACCGAGGTTAAAGGTCATGTCGCCTCTATTGCACAACTTTCCAATGGGAATACTTGTCAACGTAATCCTCTTCCCTAGATCTTATTTACAATCAATTATTAATGGATTAAGAACGTACAATCCACATTACATGTTTTAGTAATTTGAATTAAGGCAGATTCAGTAATATTTATATTTAATATAGTCTTACAATTGGAGATCGAAAAATAACCAACTTTGGTGAGAATTTTCAGACAAATGAATAAATACAGAATTAAACATTTCGAATTAAACAACAGAATAATTATATTGACAAATTCCTATAATTTCGACATTCTCAGTATGTCTAAATGCTTCATTTCTGAAGGACATGGTGACAATTACAGCAGCCAACGACAGGGCTGTTAAGAGCCAACAGCGGAGGAGGACATAATTACCCTCACATGTACTGTGAGGGTAATACTGTGAGTCTGCTCAATAAATTCTCCCCTCAGGCCGAAATTAGATTCTCCTCCTCGCCAACTGAATTGTCTACAGTGTTATGGGAGAGGAACCCAGCTCCTGTATGCACCGGAGTCCTCTCAGCGCTGGGGGAAATTCATTTGAATCTTCTCAGCGCTTGGGAAATGCACTTGGCTCTTCTCAGCGCTGGGAAAGTGTATTTAGTTCCTCCTAACGCTGGGAATGTCTCAGACTTCTTTCGGCGCTGAGGAAATACAGA